TGTGTTGTTGAACCAGAAAGGGATAAGGGGATGATTGTATTAATGGGCCACAGAATCTAAGATGGCTAAGAAGGAATGTGAGGGAGAGTGGGGTGATGGAGGAAAGAAGGATGATAGGATCAGTGATTTATAGACCTAAAAAATTGTTGGTGTCCGAATAGAGTCTACCTAGAATATAAATACTTTTCAATAGGAATGCTGTTCAAGTGTGCAGAACTGTATTTCAGGATATGTACCAAACGTGACCCCCAACTGTGTCTCCCCTAACTCTATATAGTTTAGTTCTCAAAATATAGGGTACATATCTTGGGTTTCCTCACCTCTTTGCTTTTTTTTTTAAGATTTTAATTTATTTGTTTTTCAACAGAAGGGAAGAAAAAGAGAGAGGGAGAGAAACATCAGTGTGGTTGCTTCTCTTCTGCCCCCCAACCAAGGACCTGGCTTGTAACTGAGCCATGTCCCCTGACTGGAAATCAGACCAGCAGTCTTCAGGTTTGCAGGCTAGCTCTCAGTCCACTGAGCCACACCAGCCAGGGTACCTCTGCTCCTTTGAGCCCAGAATTCCTCGCTTCTCCTGTCTTTCCCACCTACCTTGTACTATATACTACCCATTTTTTACAACCCATCTCACAAGCCTTCTCTTTAAAAAAACCCTTCTGTATTTCCAGTTAGAAAAAACCATTTCTCATCCTTAAAGCTTTTTACAACTTCTGCATCTTTCTTATAATATTTGTAGTTTTCTACATAGTACTACATCATATTTGTTTGTTTATCACAGCCATTTATTTATGTTTAGTACAGTCTTACTGTCAACAGTCACTACTGTGGTAGTTTCAATTTACTGCTTTGTAAAGTATTTTAGATTCCCTCTAGGACATTTTGAAAAGCAAAGTTGTCTTGATGTCAGACACACAGGGACTTCAAGACTTAAAAGATGTTCCTTAAGCTCCTTCAGCATTATATCTCTCATTTCTAAATTGGAGGTTTCAATTTTTTTCTCATTGCATTGTTGTAAAGACTAAATTAAATGGTGTATATGTGCATGTTTGATTTTATCTAGTGAATAGTGTTGCCCATATCACAGGATGTTGCCAAGGGTAGGCACTCAGTTTTAAAAGTTTCTCTTTCATTGTCAGTCATTATGTTTTGCTATTTATGAAATACTTGCTGAACCTGTCTCCTTTACTATGACTTCCCTACCATACTTTCAAAATTGCTGTTTCTAATAAACCATGGACTAGGAAAACCGGTAAACCAATTTATTACAATTTATTATGAAAAAGTACATGAACTCAGAAACATCACATTTGACATTCAGAAGCTTCTCTAAATTATTCTTTGTTTTTCAACTATGTTCTTCAAAGATAGATTTGACAAATGAAATGACACATAGGGAGGGGAGTAGGGAGTCCTTTTTTGTGCTTGTCACATATGCAGATCTAGACTTACGAGTCTGGAGACGAAGAGAGTGGTCAACACTAGAGACCAAAATTTGGAGTAACAGACATAAAGATGCTATTCAAAACCCTGGAGCAGTACAGCATCACATAAAGTAGGAGTCCATAACACTGTCAAGTTAACTTTTAAAAAATCAGCCTGAAGTCTTTTTTTCACTTAGCCAGAATAAGAATGTAAACTATACCATAATCTTTGACTATGCAATATGCATATCATGTTAAATGAATAACTGAATGCTTTTTGTTTGTTTGGTGGTTACAAGTGTTTTAAAAAAAAACCCAACTCAACAAAGATAACGTTTTTGCAATTAGAATTACAGTTTCCATAACACTTTTACAAGACAAGGATAGAGTTTTTCTAAGGAACCCCAGAATTCTCCGAGGTTTGTTTTTGCCATAAAGTCAATGGTTTTGTTTTAATCTTAAGTCCAGATCTTAGAAGCTGTTTATATTAGAATCATGGACCTATTATTCAACTCGGATGCAATCAAGATGGAAACAACTGACTTTTAAACAGTTTTTAGGAGTTTCTAGGTATTTATAAATTTATTTTTTAAAATGCATCGACAGACAATTTTTGGATAGGAAATACTGGAAAGCAACATACAAGGTCTGTCCAGAAGGTATCTAGTCATGTAATATGAAAAATAGAGGCATTTATTGAAGAAGATACAAGCAAGATACAAGAAACATTGTATATAAAACAATGACACCTCAGTCCCCTTCAGAGTAGGCACCTGGAGACCTCACACAGTTCTCCCAATTGCCATCAGCCACCCTGTTATTTTTTTGTGAATTTCATCAAGTGTCTGAAGTCTCTACCCATTCAAAGGTTATTTGAGTTTTGGGAAAAGCCAGAAGTAGTAGGACACCAAATCTAGGCTGTAAGGGGGATGAGTCACCTGGGTGATTTAATATTTTCTCAAAAAATTGCAGGAGACATGATGCATGAGCAGACACATGGTCATGATGAAGCTGCCAGTCACCAGTTGCCCGTAGCTGCAGCCTTCTGAGTCATCTGTATAGCTTCCATAGAGGAATGTTCAAGCTTAATGCAGAATTTGATGCAGACTCATTGCTCTACTTGTTAGTCACTTTGAATGTGATGGACACACAATACACATGCTCACTCGATGGTATCTGCCGCCCCACTGACTAGTACGGCGAAGTCCTCATTGTTCATGCATGAGCATTCCAGTCCACTCTCCTTGGCTGCCAGGTTACATGGGTGTTGTGCAAATCGTAACCCTTATATTAATAATGGCTGGACTTTTTCTGGACAGACCCCTATATGCCCTGGTGTCAGTGTGGGAATATTCAGCTTTACTGTTGGTGGCTGAAGAATTATTGGGCACAGAGTTGCCCAGTACTTGCTAGTCCTCTTTTGCATTGAATGAAACAGACTGCTAGATTCATGCTCCTGTTGTCTTAAACAGCACACTCCTATAGCAAGATTGTTCTTTGAAGTTCTATAGCTTTTTGGTCATTTAAATGTCATCTTGCTTGCTTTTCTCACTTTTTTTTTCAAATTTAATTTTGCCTTACCAGTAATGCTATTTCCTCCTTTGCAGTCCTCAAACTTTGTAACTTGTGTCTGTCATTTTGCGAGCTGTATTAGGTACTCCTTTTGATGCTAAAGGCTATTTTATTTCATTGCTATTCTTTGAGAAAGTGGGACTGCATGCTGTAGTGTCTGAAATCTTCGTTGATGACAATCTCTCCTTCCATCATTTCAAGATCCTGATTCCATCAGGTTGCTATTTGCCTAGTTTTTCATCTAAATAAAAGGTTATCACCTTTTTTAAGATTGGTTGGAACTGATTTCAGTAACATTTTAATTACTTAGTCAACGTAATTACACTTTTATTTATCTGAACTTTCATTTTTTTCAGATTTTATATATTCTTAGTTTTTCCTAACTAAATTTCTGATCTGTGTAGTAAATGGTATAAATTTATCTGATTTTTTTTAAAAATTGAGCTATATAGATTAAAGACTTGGTAGTGCAATGAATTTCTACCTTGGCTCTACATCCAAATTGCCTTTTACACTTTTTAAAAAGATTTTATTCATTTATTTTTAGAGGAGAAGGGAAGGAGAGAGGGAGAGAAATATCAATGTGTGGTTGCCTCTCATGTGTCCCCCAAGTGGGAACTGGCCTGCAACCCAGGCATGTGCCCTGACTGGGAATCAAACCGCGATCGTCTACTTCGCAGGCCTGCGCTCAGTCCACTGAGCTACACCAGCCAGGGCCCTTTTATACTTTCTAAAAACATTTTTGCAGATGCTATTCCTAAAGATTCTATTTTGTTAGAGCTGGCTGGACCTAAGGTACCAATTTTTAAGAACAGTCAGAATTGAAAATGGTTAGCCTAAGCTCTTTTTTTGTTTGTTTGTTTGACTCTGCCCTCTCTGGGACTCCTCCCCCATTGAATTTAGCATACATCTAAAAACAGAAATCCACCTCTTTTCCCCAGTCTTGTCCCCTAATTCTCTGATTAAACGTATACTGCCTCCGTCAGTTTTGGTGCAGTGCACACAGTTGCCAGCCTGAGTCAATCTCTGGCAAGATCTTAGGACTGTTACTCTCCTCCTAGGGGAGTACCTAAGATAGAATGCTTGACCCTGTGTGTCCTGGGAGTTGCAGGCAGAGGCCTAGTCCACAACTGCAAAGTCACTGGTGTCACAGGCAAGTAGTAATCATAATGCAAAACCTTGTCGTGTCTGTTAGAGGTTCGTGTTGGCTGTAATTTGATTTGATGTTTTCTCCCTTCTTTCTACCTTTATTCCAGACCTTTGAAATATATACTGGAAAATGTATCTTAAACCCTCATATCTTTCTTATTTTAATCGTATATTTTTCCATATCAGAAAATGAGACAAAATGTTGATATTAACATAGCCTTTTAAAAGTTTTAAGTACATTAGATAAGAATTTATCATCACTTAAGAGAGACAGGTTATCAAGAAGCATTAATATTCCTGCATTCCAACCACATTCACAAAAATTGTAGAAAGTTAGATCACAGTTTTTTCTATCTCCTTGCGCCCGTCTCACCGTGGGTGCATATTTATTAGATATAACACTGGAAATAATTCTAGGAATTACAGTGATCCTTCCTTACTTATAGATTGTTTTTACTTTAAAGTTCAGTCATACCTTTTGAGTACATTCCAAAGCTATGAGCTTAAGAAAATTGAAGCAAGCCTTAGTATAGCATATTAAAATACAGTCAAGAAAAATGATGTAAACTTTTTCATTGCTTCTGTTTCTTTTCTCTCATGTCTTAATTTGTCAAGGGACCGTTCAAATAGTTTTTTCCATGTTATGTGTGTATTTTATGTCTTTATAGTACTTTATTTAATAATTTGCTACTGTGGCATTGATCATAAATTATACCAAGTTGTATTAGAAGAACCTGGAGGAAGAGTGCCTGCTTTTGCATTTGCACCATGTTTTGCTTGCTAGAAACATATCCTCTTAGTAGTTTACATTGAATTCTATTTAGTATGTTTTTCAACAAATAGTTTTTTTAATTTTAGATGATATTGGTGCCCACATGAATGTAGGAAGAACTTATAAAAATTTAAATAGAACCAAAGAAGCTGAAGAATCTTACATGACAGCTAAGTCATTGATGCCTCAAGTAAGTTGTCATAATTTATTCCTATTGTGTCATGTCTACTAAATATCCATATTGAATAACATTATGTAGATGGAAAAGGCCTTACGTTTTCTTCAATTTACTGATATAAAAGTGTCCAATGAACCATTTCTTTAGTGTAAGTTTTTCTAAGGAGTACATTTTTCTAGCTGAATTAATTTTGTTGTATAGTCTATAAAAACTAAATTTATAAAGTTACGAGTTTTTATATTCTTGGATATAAGTTATTGATGAGTTAAATTACTTTAAATGAAGAGAATTGTACTTGTGTACATTAAGAACTAAATCCAGCATTATTCCTGTCAAAAAATAGGTGAATAACACAAAGTAGATACATCTCTGTTGCTACATTATGTCCATTAGTTGTTATAATGACACAAGTACAAGATTCACTTGATATCACAGTATGTCGTCAAAATTGGAAGATCTGGTCCTGCCCTTGACAAGCTTAGCAGCATCATTGGAAAAGATAGTTTTCCCTGGGCTACAGTTTTCTCAATTGTAGTGTGTACTATACGATAATAGTAATAGCAATATAAAAATGGATAGTTTGATAAATGATTTGAAAACAAACTTGGACTACCTGATATCTGAAGAACTGATTTCTCATACTCTAGAGTTAAATTGCATTCAATACAGATTTTTATCAGTATTTTCTGCCCATTGAAAATTTGGGTCCATATGTATTATATGTAATAACCTTTACTTAATCCGAATAGTGAATTAATAAGATAATTTTATTTCGTAACCCCGAGAAAAATGAGGTTTTAGTATAACTATGAAATAAAATTGTCTTATTGTCACGACCGGAAATATTTTGCTGACAACGTGAAAGTTGACATGCTTTAACAAATACACTGGACAGAGAAAGGGGAGTCCTGAGTTCTGTTTCTGATCTGTTGTAAACATACTGAGACTATAGCATCTAAAAGCACTGATTTATGTGACTACATAAAATGATAGGTATAAGTAAAAAGTTAATCATATTCTATTGAGCTGGCATGAATGAAAAAAATATAACCTTTAGTGCAAGAAAATATTTTACTTACATGTTATGACTACCAATGTTTTCACATTTTTATGACTTATTTTAATATAGTAGTAAAACTAACAGCATTATCTTTTTGTGCTCTGTATGTTTTAAATAAATTACTAGGCCTACTTACTTTTCACTTTCATTTGGTAATAAAATATCAATTATGAAAATGCCTTGTCTTCTGAACAGATTATTCCTGGTAAAAAATATGCAGCCAGAATAGCGCCTAACCACCTAAACGTGTATATCAATCTGGCCAACCTGATCCGTGCAAATGAGTCCCGACTGGAAGAAGCAGATCAGCTGTATCGACAAGCTATAAGCATGAGACCCGACTTCAAGCAGGCTTATATCAGCAGGTACTGTAGTTTACTTTAAGCTGTTGTTACAGGAAATTGAAGCTACATCTACATGTTACATTTTGACTATTTTGACTAAATTAGTTTTTTCCCCTCAGTAATCTTACTTGCAACTGACAACACAGAAACATACCCCATTTTAGACTGCAATCAAATTTAATTGATTTGATTTGAAATTGACAAGGGCGCTCATAACTTACATTAGCACATTTTAGGTTTTATATGAAAGGTGAAAAGAAGTTCCTTAGTTCTATTTGCTTATCACCAAATTCATTTTATTTAAAACACCTTAAACTTACATTTTATAAGTAATCCTAATATCCAACTCTCAGAAGCTTTCTTAAATAAATATTGAGAATTGACTGGTCATTGATACCTTTACCAAAAGAAACTTTTTAGTTGTCAATAAAAATAGAGTTTTGACCACTAGGGGAGAGGGGAGGGAGATAATGGGAAAGAAGGGGAAGGGTCTAGTCAAAAAAGCAGGCATAAACGACCCATGGACAACAGGGCAACAGGGGGCTTGACTGTGGGAGCTGAGGGTGGGGCAGAGCAACGGGGGGAAAACTGGGACAACTGTAGTTGAGTGACAATTTAAAAAATAGATTATCGTGAAAAATAAATTTTTGGTATCCCATTTTAGAACTTGATATATGTATTTTCCCATGTTAGTGTTATCGTTTGTGTTATACTTGAGGAAAAGAGCATGTTAAATTTTGTTTTGTGCTTAGCCCCAAAACCTAATAATCATAATTTATGACATTCATTGTTTCTATAAAGAAAATGCATTCAGAATTTAGTAAGTTTTCGATCTCATCGTTAGTCGGAGGCTATCTTAGTTCAGCCTTATCTAGTACTTTTGAAAATTCACTAGGTTTAGTGGGGTTGCATCTGTAAATAAAACCTGTCATGGCTTAATATATAAAGAATGATTCAAGAATCCTGCATAAAGAATAACATTTTGGACAAATACTCATTCTAGAAATTCCCTAATCAAGAATATTAATAGTTCATTCGATTTCATCCCTATTCTATAATTTAGGAAAGAATAGTAATATAACAAAAATACTCTAGCATCATTACTTAAATTGATTTGCATATATGTAATTAATCAAAGTGATGCTTTAAACTCTCTAACAGGAGATAGAACCGTAATAGAAAGATTTCTGAAATAGTTTTGAAATCGTAATCCGCAGTTCCAGAAGAGTTTCTCAAAGATACCAGCAGGTGGCACTAGTGCCCTGTGTCCACCCTACATGGTCAGGGTTTTGTTTTGTTTTGTTTTTAACTCCCCCCCCACCCCTGCCAATAAATGATCATTTTATAAGAATACATTGAAAATAAAATTAATATAAGAAGAGTTAAATTTTTTCTAATGTCCTGCTTTTTGTATAGTAAGACTTCTAACAGATTAAAATACTGGTATTTCCCCATCACTACCTTTTATATTTTCTTTCTTCAAATGCTATAACCTGGCTCCTGACAAACTGATCTCCCTCCCTGGTTGCTGTCATTTTTCTGAAGTGGTATATTCTGCCTTCTTTTAAGATATATTCAAAGAATAAATTTTTTTGTCTCCCTTTCTTGAATGTCTCCCCACACCTTAATCTCTAAAGTCAGGCATGCTTTTTCCATCTTTAATAATATTTGAAAGCATATCAAGCCAAATTTGCCAAACTGTGATAGTTTTTTTTAAATAAACTTATTGGAGTAACATTGGTTAATAATACTACATAAATTTCAGCTGTACAAAATCATAGTTCACAAGATTATAACTTGACATCTTTGTGCTCTGCTCTGTTACCCCCACCCAACGTTTAGCTTCCTTCTGTCACCATGTGTTTGACAACCTTACCCCCTTTGCCCTCCCCAGCCCGGCCTCTTTCCCCTCTGCTACTAGCTTTCTGTTCTTTGTATGAGTTTGGTTTGGTTTGGTTTGTTACTTTTTGTTTTAATTCCACATGTGAGCGAAATCATATGTTTTTTTTTACCTTTTCCATCGGACTTATTTCATTTAGCATAATACTTTCAAGATTCATCCATGTTGTCACCAATGGCAATATTTTGTTCCTTTTTATGGATGAGTAATATTCCATGATATATATACATGTGTATATGTACATATGTATACATATCACATCACATCTTTATCAGTTACCTGTCAGTGGACACTTAGGTTGTTTTCATGTCTTCCCGATTATAAATAATAGTGCAGTGAACATAGGGATATAGATAGCCTTATGATGATAAGTGTGTTCGTATTTTTAGGGTAAATACTCCTAAGAGGAATTGCTGGATCATATGGTAGTTTTATTCTTAATTTTTTGAGAAACCTGTATTCTGTTTTCCATAGTGGCTACACCAGTTTACATTCCTACGAGCAATGTTTTGATGGTTCCCTTTTCTCCACACTTTCTTCAACATTTCTCATCTTTTTTTTTATGATAACCATTCTGACAGGTATGAGGTGGTATATCGTTGGGATTTTGACTTGTCTTTCCCTAATAACTAGTGATATTAAACAGCTTTTTGTGCACCTGTTGGCCATTTGTGTATCTTGCTTGGAAAAGTGTCTATTCAGGTCCTCTGACCATTTATTGAACAGATTTTTTTTTTGTTGTTATATGAGTTCTTTACATATTTTGGATATTAGCCTCTGTTGGGAGATACTGTTTGCCAATATCTTTTCCCATTCAGTCAGTTGCCTTTTCTTAGAGATGTTTTATTTAGGTTCTTTTGCTGTGCAGGAGCTTTTTAGTTTGATTCCTTTGTTTTTGCTTTTATTTCTCTTGAGTTTAGGGTTAAGTTTACAAAAACCCCTCTAACACCAAGGTTCTAAGTGTGGCACCTGTGTTTTTGTCTATGTATTTCATTCTTCCAGGTGTTAACATTCAAATCTTAAATCTATTTTGAGTCAGTTTTTGTGTATGGTGTAAGATAATAGTCTAGTTTCCTTTTGCATGTAGCTCCAATTTTCCCAACACCATTTATTGAAGACACTTTTCCTCTCTTACTGTATATTCTTGGCTCCTTTGTTGAAAGTTAGTCATCCATATAGGTGTGGGTTTATTTCTGGGCTCTCAGTTCTGTTTCATTGTTCTGTATGTTTGTTTTTCTGCCAGTACTATGCTGTTTTGTTTTTTTCAATTTTACTGTTTTACTTACCCTACCATTATGGCATAATCAATTCCTCCATGGAATTACAACTCTTTATGTTTTTCTTTCTATTGGTTATGTGATCATTCCTTAGTAGGTAGATGAATCATTTTTTAATGGTTTTGAGAAACATAGCATGGAGTTTAGTGCCTGAATGCGACTATTCAATTCCTCTTCCTTCCGATAGAAAATAGACAAAGAACAATAAAGAGGCAGGTGGGATGCAGAGTACCAAACCCAGCCTGTGGTTATCAGGCACGGATCACAGCAGAATGCTGAGTATTATCTAGGAGGAAAGGCTGACCAAAAAAGTTAGAGAAAAAAATAAAATGTTCTTGGTTTCAGCTTCGTAAGTATGGCTATCTAGAACCCATGACCACGATGCTTTTGGTACTGTAGCTTTGTGGTATAGTTTATTATAGTTTATAATACCTTTTGCTTTACTCTTTTTTTTCTCAGTATTTCTTTGGCTACATGGTTATTTTTGAAAGAAAACTTTAAGAACCTCAGGTAAAAGGAAAAAAGAAAGCTGTGAATGTATGGAAAAGCTTAAAACCTGTGAAAAACAATATCTATAAACTGGCATGGTAATGTTGTAAGTAAGGCTTGTGCTTGATTTTTCCACAGAGGAGAATTGCTTTTAAAAATGAATAAACCTTTCAAAGCAAAAGAAGCATATCTTAAAGCACTAGAGTTGGACAGAAATAATGCAGATCTTTGGTACAACTTGGCGATTGTTCATATTGAACTTAAAGAACCAAATGAAGCTCTAAAAATTTTCAATCATGCTTTACAACTAAATCCAAAGCATAAGCTAGCATTATTCAATTCTGCTATCTTAATGCAGGAATCAGGTATGTTTCCCCAAATATTTCCATATTTAAACACTTGTAATTTGAAATATAATAAAACCTTAACTTAAAATATATTACTTGTAACAGACACTTTGTGAATGGATAGTTTGTATCAAAACTGTATCAGAGCTCCAGCTAGGTAGCTCAGCTGGTCAGAGGGTAGTCCCCGCACACCGCATTCGTGGTTCCATCCCTGGTCAGGGCACACACAAGCGTCAGCCAATGAATACATCGAGAAGTGGACAACAAATCACTATCTCCCTCTGTCTCTCTCTCTTCCTCTCTCCCTCTAAAAATCAAGATATTGAAAAAAAAACAGGCGAAGGGATTAGCCAAAAACCATGTATGCATAACAATAACATGTAGATACAGACAACAGTGTGGTGATGGCCAGAGCAAAAGCAGCGCAGGGCAGGTGGAGGCGGGCCCGGGAGGCAAATGAGGACATCCGTGATAGTGCCCACTATAGAAGTAAAGAAAAGATGTTTTTAAAAACCTGTGTAAATGATCTATAAGTAGAATTTTAACATCTTTAAACTTCTCATGTAATATGCACTAACATATAAGATAATACTGATTATTCTCATATATGTTAAGACCAATTTTTCAGGAAATCTATTAAGCAGTGTCTTATTCTTCTGTCATTTTATACACAGAAATATATAATCTCCTATGTAAATATGTTGTTCAAATAATCTGAACTTCTATAATTTTTTACATAATTATTTCCAGGGAGTCATAAGCTTTGTATGTTTTAGAAAGAAATATTATTCTATCTTCCCTGGATTTCTAAAACCAGATACTTTTGGTATCATTTTGTGTTCAATTTTTATTGTCTTCTGAGATTACTATAATTTTCTATAACATCTATGATAAGCAAAACTAAATTTAATTATAATAAATCAGGTTTTTGATATATAGGGATTTTATTACTACTCAGAAGGCTGGGTATATGATTCATAATATTTTATGTTTGGAAAATCTTTATATTAGATTCACTTCTTTAGTTAATTATTAATTTTTTTAAACTTTTGCAAAAACAACAGATCATAAGATCATATTATTTTATTTTTATTTATTTGTTTGTTTGTTTGTTTATTTATTTATTTATTTATTTATTTATTTATTTAGAAAGGAGGGAAAGGAGGGAGAAAAGATGGGAAATGTCAGTGTATGGTTGCCTCTCGCACACCTCCTACCAGGGACCTGTTCCTCAGCCCAAGCATGTGCTCTGACTAGGAATAGAACCAGTAACCCTTTGGTTCACACATAGAGCTAGACCTTTGAGTCTTGCCAGTCTTCTGTTTAGTAGATTAGAGAGTGTGGACCTGATAGATACAATGAATACCCCAACACCATATGGCCAGTTTAGTAATCGGTCCAAGATAGGAACTTAAGCCTACTGATTTTTTTTCAAGTTTTCTTTATTCATCATATTGTCAAATAAAATAATATAAGGAGCTCTTATCCCTGATATTCAAGAAAGTATAAATTTAGAGAACAGCTAATATTTTTGTGTTAGCCAACCTTAGTAATCATGAAAGGGCTCATTATCCAACATAAGATTGTTTAGTTATAAGGTTTATAGTTATAGAACTTGAATTTTTATTTGTTTTTAGTTCCAATAAAGTAATCAAAATGAACATTTGTTTACTAACTCCTAATTTATATTTATAAGCTTTATATTTAAGGTTTATTTTACCTTTGAAACATTCTACAGAATTTGAAGTACCATATAAAAATCTTATTTAGCCCTGGCCAAGTAGCACAGTTGGTTACAGCATCATTCTGATAGGCCAAGGTTGTGGGTGCAATCCCCATTTGGAGCACATATAAGAAACAACCAGTGAATGAATAAATAAGTGGAACAGTACATCAAGATTTCTCTCCCTCTCCTTTTCTCTCTCTAAAATCAGCAAATAAAATTTTAAAAATATATACTAAGACCGAAGCATTTTATTTATCAAATAAGTTAATATTTGCTAAATATGATTACACATATTGCATGTAACTCTAAGAAAATTCATACGTTAACCCAGAGGAGTTAAATAACCTATGCAATGTAGAAAGTCATAGTGTTAACAGAATCAAGATTGAATACATGTCTGTTGGCAAATCTCATGCCTCTTAATTCTTGATCCTTCCTCTGTCTACCACTTCCAGTTAGCTTCTAAACTGTAAGGATATATTTTGCCCCCTTTGAGGCATTCTAACTGCCTTAAAGGAAAGGAAATGAGTTATAATTTCAGTGTTTCAAACACACTCTTTACTATAAAGACTTTAAGGTTTTGCTCTCTGCTGTTTGACTTAGATACAGTGATTAGTTGTTTTGATGCTGTCATTTTACATTGTAAATAGATAAAATATGAAAGTGGTTTTTTCCTAAGACTTAATTTATTTGCTAACAATATGATTTTTAAAAATTATTCATAGGTGAGGTTAAACTCAGACCTGAAGCTAGAAAACGACTTCTAAGCTATATAAATCAAGAGCCACAAGACGCTAATGGTTACTTCAATCTGGGCATGCTTTGCATGGATGACAAAAAGGACACTGAAGCCGAGATGTGGATGAAGAAAGCCATAAAATTACAAGCTGACTTCAGAAGTGCTTTGTTTAATCTGGCTCTGCTGTATTCTCAGACTGCAAGGGAATTAAGGGCTTTGCCAGTTTTAGAAGAGTTGCTCAGATACTATCCTGATCATATTAAGGGTCTCATTTTAAAAGGAGACATTCTGATGAATCAAAAGAAAGATGTACATGGAGCCAAAAAATGTTTTGAAAAGATTTTGGAGCTGGATCCAAGCAATGTGCAAGGAAAACACAATCTTTGTGTTGTTTATTTTGAAGAAAAGGACTTACTAAAAGCTGAAACATGCCTGATTGAAACGTTGGCATTGGCACCACATGAAGAATATATCCAGCGCCATTTGAATATAGTCAGAGATAAAATTTCCTCAGCCACTTTAATAGAACAACCAATATTCCCTGCCAGTAGGACTTTAGGTGTACAAAGAGACAAAAGTCGAACTGAAAATGTAAAAGATTCCAGAAGCGAACCCAGACCCACAGAGATAATAAAAACAAGTGATAATAAAAGTCAGTCTAAATCTAACAAACAATTAGGAGAAAATACAGGCAAAGAGACCCCTCACAAAACAACAAAAGAAGTCAAAGAAATTGAGAAGAAAAGAGTTGCTGCTTTAAAAAGACTAGAGGAGATTGAACGTATTTTGAACGGTGAATAGCATTACTCTGTATTACATGACTGGTTTCAAAGAACTACCTGTGTCATGTGATTGCTTATGGGAGCTTTGAAAAATGGTGGAGATTCATAACAACCTCTACATAGAATCAAAATTAGGGTTTTTACTAAAAACCTGCCTTACTCCATATAAGATATGGCAGTAATTTTATGAGTTTTGGTGAATGTAGCAGAAATATTAAATTATAGCTGGCCAATTTGTATCTGTTGTAATAGAAGGGAGATTCTCTCAGCAAAAGAACCTTGACTACTCTCAATTAAAAATAGTCTGGGGCCTGAACGATGACCTCTGGGGGTCACATCCAACATTTGCTTTTTCGTTCTGCGAATTCCCATTTATTAGCTGACTTCATTTTTCCTTTACCTGTTGGAATCTGGCTATAGACTAGAAACATTTATTGAATGCTTTTTATTTTCAGTGAGTGACCTTCTGTTTAACCAAGAGACTTTGCCTACAAAAGAATACTGAATTTATTTGTATTCTTATGTTGATATTTAGAAGGAGTGTCGGATGAAACATGTTAAAATAAGTCACGTGACGTGAGTTTAAGAATATATTTTCATAATTTTGCTTGTCTTTCACTCTAAATAGCAATTTTTAATCAGGTAAAGTTTTAAATATATATATAAACACAACACATTTCTAATGGTGCTCATATATACTGTATTTTTTTTAACGTACTGAGAATTTCACAGCATTAACCACATAATCATGATTATCTTTGACTTCCCAAACTACTCATGTTTTTTAGGGTCAAAGTCATATTAAAAAGCTTCAATAATATAACTTTATTTAAACTTTTGAGTTAAAATATAGTTATTTTTATCTTAGTATTATCTCTAGTGTTATTTGAACTTTAATTTTGTTTCAAACACCTCAAGCAACCTTAAGTAACTAAACTAAGTTCTGTTTAACTGAAGGCAAACAATGTGACAAAGTTTATTTTTTAAACACTAAGTTCTTAATATCTTGTTATGTTGTATATTTTATTAAATATTTATTTTGACTACTGAGCTTCCTTAAAATTTTTAAAGCTGTTTTAATTGTATTAAATGTGGAAAACAAATTACTTTTCATTTTCCTATATATGCGTGTATTGTGGTTTAACCAAAATTCCTTCATTTTTGGCCTGCTTTCTAGCTATAAAAGATAATTAGCCATAATATTGAATTAATAAACTGGTCAGTTGGTTTTAACACATTTGAACCTGAAAACTGTTAGGCTAAAGAGTAGATACAAATCATATTTATTAATTTAAATCTAATATTTTTGACATAAATGCATTTCAAATGAATTTCATAATACTTAGTAAACTTGATTTTAACTTAAAATGTTAAAGCAAACATCTTGGGATAATAACAAATGCCTAATTATGTAGAATTTCAAAAACTGTTTTTTTTGAGATAACTAATATCTAATGTGTGTTTTACAAACCATATCTGTATAACTTTTTTAAAGAAGTGGTTTATAAATAGGTCACAAGAAATGTGGTCTTCATTAAGGACTCCTACTAAGTTCCCCCAGGCTCTCTTGTAGAATACCGTTTAGGTGGTTTAAAGCGAGCACTGACACTAATGGTGCCTCATTCTTGATGTAGGAGATTAGGTCAATCATTGTAGCAGTTCCTAATACCAGTTCTTAAATTATGGCTTTGTGACTCCAGACACATAGTGGAGAATACCTCATATACTATGACTTGAAAATGAAATCTATGTTATTCTTATGTTCTTTCCACACGTCTTCAGAAAAAAATTCTGAGTGTGATCTGTTATAGTAGCAAGTGAGTACAGTTCAGAAAAGTAGAAGCAAAATTGTCATGACAACAGACCATAATAAAGGCTTTGAGTCATATTTTAATAAAATTATATAACTCTTCAAAAGATAAAAGATATATTAATGTTATCCAGATTTTTGTATAGAAAAAAGAATTTCCTCCCTATTAACACTTAGAAGAGTGCCTACCATGTAGGAAGTACTTACATATTTGAATTTTAAATAATTTATTCAAATCAAAACGATCCTGAGTAATGAGTAATTTTTCCAGATCAGTGTCTCTCAACCTTTATAAAAGAATTATCTTAATGTGGACCCTGTCCACAATAGTTAAATCTGAATTTTTATGATGGAGCTATTAAGGGCTTCTAAGGTTCTCCAGCTGATTCTAATTTGTTGTCAGGTTTAACAACCACTGCTCTAAATTAAAAAAAAAACTTTCTTATATCTCCTGTATTAAGTAATTATTTTTAAGTAAGATAACCCAATTAAGTTTTTATATTTTTACAGTTTTATTAAGGAATATGCTCTTCTGGTAACTAGTAGAGTCCTCATGTAACAGCATGAATAACTTCTTGGAAACTGCTACATTCAGTAAAATGACATACAATAAAACCAGTTTACTACAGGCTAATTGATAAAAAAAAAAAAAAAGTTACTTTCCTACAGCATATTTCTGGTCACAAAAACCTCACCAAACTTCTAAATACCCAAGACAGTTATAATAATAAACATTGACACAAATATGTTAGACACACATTTCAGAAAGATTAATGAAAACATGTAATAGAATTTCCGACCCTTTTATTTCTGTTCAAGGTCGAGGGAGGCCAGAGCTGCTCCTAAGCAGCTCAGAGCACAGGGCAGGCACCCACCCTGGACCAAGTGCTCTCCCGTCCCTGGGCTCACACACCCACACCCACTCAGACTGGACAGTGTAGGTGGACATGCCAGTTAAACTAGCTTGCACATCTTCGGATGTAGGAGAAAATAGAGTATCTGGAGAAAACCCATGCAGACAGTTGTCCCAGCTGGGAATCAGTTTTCCCCCCTCATCAACATTGTGTCATTAAAAAGAACACTGAACAGACTGTTTCTTGAAGACTTGTATTTATTCCATTTTAAGTTCCATCAAGCTTACTTACATGACAGACGATTATTTCTTCTCCTTAAGCTCATAATAGGACTTTATCCATACTGTTCAGGTGAGAAAAAGGTCATAGAACTGCCTTTTTGGGAAAACAGAGGGTAGGGACATTTAGGCCAGTTCACTAACCTGTGGTTCAGACTTGTGAGCATATGTAAATTTGGAAAAGAAAACATATCATAGGACTCTGTGCTGGTGAGGATGTGGTTTTAGTTCTCACTGTTTTACAAAGGAATCTATTGATACTTCCTGGAGCTCTAGGAAAGCTTTGACAATCCCCAGGGGGAAGTTAATTATGTTACTCTTTTACTGCTTCTCAGAAGGAAGAATTAAGTTTTTGATTTATTGCTCCTATATGTGTTCCTTACAAACATTCAGAATTGGGAAGCTTATCTTACAGTTATTTCAGTAAGTAGTTTTGAGGTTGGTGTCTTGGAGCACAAAATAAATATTTTGCAATTGTGTGTTTACTTTTATGTAAATATTTGGTATGTGAATTACACAATTTTAATAAAACCATGGCTTTCATTACATCTAATTTGAGCTTTCAACTTCATGTTACAGAGTGTTTCTTTAAAGATATTTCAGTGAAAAATATGAAAATATATAGATTTGTATATTGATTTGTACTTCAGAAATCCATATATTTGTTGTATTTATTTTTTTAAAAAAACCTCCTAATTACCTGCATGACTAAATGGTATTTAAAATGAACCCCTCTAAAATGTCTGGTACCTTCGTCCAAAATTTTAACTCTTAGAAACTGTCAGTTATCCATGTTATGAGTTCATAAGAAAGTAGTTTAAAATCGTATGCATTTTATATTACTTTGGTGTCTGTGTGTACCGTATTTCTCAATATTCACTATTAAATTGATACTTTTTAAATTGTTAACCTGAACTGCCTTTTACTGTTAAAATCAAAAAAGACAAGAGGGTACGAGAGTTCTGCCCTTTCAAAGAGAAAAGGTGGCAGGTAGTTTTATTAGCAGTCACCTAAGAAAGGCGTACGTTAGATCCCTTCCTAACAGTTTTAACCCTGAGTGACAGAAACTAAATTAAGAAAATGAGACAGTTAAACTCAAGTGCAAAACACTATACATGTACATAATTAGAAGTCAGTGGAGTCAGATAACAAAGAATGTAAGCCATGGATCTGCCTGCATTCAAACCCTGGTACCACCCTTACCGGTGTAACTTAAAGAAACTTGTTTAACTTATATGTTCTTTATCTGCAAATTGGGGAATTACTTATAAATTTATTAATATTTTATTTTTTATTATTATTTTATTGTTTAATTACACTTGTCTGTATCTTCTCCCCACCTCACCCACTCCAAACCCACCTCCCTCCCTTGCTTCCACCCTCCCCCTTGGCTCTGTCCCTGCGTCCTTTGTAGCAGTTTCTGAAAACCCTTCCTCTTTCTGTCCCCTCCCACCTCCCCTCTGGCTGTTGTTAGATTGTTCTTATTTTCAGTGACTCTGGTTATATTTTGTTTCTTTCTTCTTTTGTTGTTTATGTTCCATTTAAAGGGGAGATCATATGGTATTTGCCCCTCACCACCTGACTTATTTCACTCAACATAATGCTCTCCAGTTTTATCCATGCTCTCGCAAAGGATATAAGCTCCTTCTTTCTCTCTGCTGCATAGAATTCCATTGTGTAAATGTACCATAGTTCTTTGATCCACTCATTTTCTGATGGGCACTTAGGTTGCTTCCAGCACTTGGCTATTGTAAATTGTGCTGCTGTGAACATTGGGATACATGGGTTGCTTATGGATTAGAAGAATTAGCATCATCAAAACAGCCATACTATCCAAAGCGATTTATAAATTCAATGCAATCCCTATTAAAGTACCCATGACATATTTCACAGACATAGAACAAACACTTCAAAAATTTATATGGAACCGTAACCTTGAATAGCAGCTGCAATTTTGAGAAAGAACAAAGTAGGAGGGATCACAATACCCGATATCAAACTGTATTACAAGGCCACTGTAATCAAAACAGCCTGGTACTGGCATAAAAACAGGCACATAGACCAATGGAACAGAACAGAGAATCCAGAAATAACCCCAAGTTTCTATGGTCAGTATTTGACGAAGAGGGAAGAAGCATAAAATGGAGCAAAATTAGCGTCTTCAACAAATGGTGTTGGGAAAACTAGGCAGCTACATGCAAAAAAGTAAAAATTGATCACCGACTTATCACCATACACAAAATAAATTCAAGGTGGATAAAAGACTTAAGTATAAGTCATAACACCATAAAAGTCCTAAAGGAGAACATAGGCAGGAAAATCTCAGATATTTCACACAGCAACATCTTCACAGATATGTTCCCTAAAGAAAAAGACATAAACAAAAGAATAAACAAATGGGACCTCATCAAATTAAAAGGCTTCTGTATGGCTAAAGAAAACAGCATTGAAATGAAAAGAGCCAGTCGTTGGGAAAACATATCTGCCAATGACACTTTGGACAAGGGTTTGATCTCCAAAATTAATATAAGGAACTCACACGACTCCACTCCAGAAACACACAAAAAAAATTTTAAATGGGTTAAAAAAATTTAGACACAAGAAACCAAACTGACAAAATTGAACTGTATGGAAGTCTGACAACCAAGGAGTTAAAATAGACACACTCATCCAGACCAGTAAGAGGGGCGGAGTCAGGTGGCCAGGTGGAGAGGGGTCATGGCAAAAAAAAAAGCAGACCCTGGGCACAGGGCAGCAGTGGGCAAACCCAGAGAGGTGGGGGATTTTGGAGGGGCACAGCCTGCAAGGCAGCTGGTGGACCAGGCAGTCCCACATTTGTGTGCAGATAAACCAGGTGAAACTGGGAAGTGAGACAGACCATGCAATCTAGGGTCCCAGGGCAAGGAAATAAACCCTCAAAACACTGATTGAAAACACCTGGGGGGTAGATGCTGGGAGATAACTCTCAGCTTCACCAGAGAGTTCATTGGAAAGACCCACAGGGTCCTAGAACATACACAAGCCCACCCACCTGGGAATCAGCACTAGAAGGGCCCAGTTTGCTTGTGGGAAGCAGCAGAAGGGACTGGAATCCAGCAGAGAACAGAGCAGATGCCATTGTTCCCTCCCTGACCCTTGCCCCACGTGCAGAGTCACAACCCAGGAACGTGTGTTACCCCGCCCTGGTGAGCACCTAGGGGACTGCCCCTCATTGCATAACGGGCACATCAAGACAAAAACGAAAAAACAATGGCCCAAAGGAAAGAACAAATCAAAGCTGCAGAACAAATACGACTAAGCAATGAAGAGATAGCCAACATACCAGATGTACAGTTCAAAGCACTGGTGATCAGGATGCTCCCAGAATTGGTTGAATGTGGTCAGAAATTAGATTAAAAAAATGAAGGCTATGCTAAGTGAAATAAAGGAAAATGTACAGGGAACCAATAGTGATGGGAAGGAAACTGGGGCTCAAGTCAACGGAGTGGACCAGAAGGAAAAAAGAAACAACCAAACAGGAAAGGATGAAGAAGCAAGAATTCAAAAAAATGAGGAGAGGCTTAGAAACCTCCAGGACATCTTTAAATGTTCCAACATTCGAATTATAGGAGTACCAGAAGGTGAAGAAGAAGAGCAACAAGTGGGAAAGTCATTTGAACAAATAATAAAGGAGAACTTCCCCAATCTGGCAAAGGAAATAGACTTCCAGGAAATCCAGGAAACTCAGAGAGTCCCAAAGAAGTTGAACCCAAGGAGGAACACACTAAGGCACATCATAATCATATTAGCCAAGATTAAAATGAAGGAGAGAATCCTAGAAGCAGCAAGAGAAAATGAGACAGTTACCTACAAAGGAGTTCCCATCACACTGTCAGCGGATTTCTCAAAAGAGACCTTGCAAGCAAAAAGAGGCTGGAAAGAAGTATTCCAAGTCATGAAAGACAAGGACCTACAACCAAGATTGCTCTATCCAGCAAAGCTTTCATTTAGAATGGAAGGGCAGATAAAGCGCTTCTCAGATAAGGTCAAATTCAAGGAGTTCATCATCACCAAGCCCTTATTATATGAAATGTTAAAGGAACTTATCTAAGAAAAAGAAGATAAAAAACAGGTACAGTAAAATGACTGCAAACTCATTAACACCCACACCTAAAACAAAAACAGAAGCAAACTAAGCAAAGAACTAGATAGAACAAGAACAGAACCACAAAAATAGAAATCACATGGAGGGTGAGCAACAGGGAAATGGGGGGAGAGTGGGGGAAAAGATACAGAGAATAAGTAGCATAGAAGATAGGTAGAAAATAGACAGGGGGAGGGCAAGAATAGTATGGGGAATGTAGAAGCTAAAGAATTTATAAGTATGACACATGGACATGAACTAAAGGGGGGAAATGTGGGTGGAAGAGGGTGTGTATGGTGAAGGAGAGTGAAGGGGGAAATGGGACAACTGTAATAGCATAACCAGTAAAATACATTAAAAAATAAATAAAATCTCTTTTAAAAAATGGGTGAAAGACTAGACCTCTCCAAGAAGGACATACAGAGGATCCAGAGACACCTGAAAAGATGCTCAGCATCACTAGCATCACTATCAGAGAGATGCAAATTAAAACCACAATGAGATACCACCTCACACCCGTCAGAATGGCCAAATTAACAATAAATAAATCAACAAACAAGTGTTGGAGAGGATTCAGAGAAAAGAGAACCCTAGTGCACTGCTGGTGGGAATGCAGACTGGTGCAGCCACTATGGAAAACAGTATGGAATTTTCTCAGAAAACTAAAAAAGATTTTCAATATACTATATAGATATTGATCGCAATAAACTGGCCGGTATCTTTGTAACTTAGTAGTACATGCCATGTACACTGAATAGCCTTTACTGAGCAATTGACAATGACCATAATTAACATCACTTCGTGAACTAAGATTTTAAAAAGCCATGATTTATTTAATGGTACTAGCTTAATTGTTGGTGTGTGGTGCCATGAATGAAACTTTACGGCTGTAACCAATAGTCAATCTATCCAGTCCTTGAGTTGTATCATAAATGTCAGACTAGGAAAGCTAAAGAAACAAAATGGTTTTAGTTTTGCTAAAGACTGGTCGGTCTTATTAATGGACAACTTTCCTAACAAGAAATTAACTGTTACCAGGTGTTAATATCTGTTTCAGAAATGTGGCAGAAATTGTTTACCTTCAGAAATTCATTTAGTTCTACGCTATTTCTAAGTTGATTTGTTTAAATAAATTCAGAAAAAGGAATTATATATTATACATTTGTATTAAATATATTAACATATTTAAATATCGCTTAAGCCAGTGCTTGACACATAGTAAACTGTAAATGTTAGTTGCTAATGTAATCACAGGGCTTAGACTTGCATTTGGTGCCTGTGATTTGATTTATACATGTTAGCAAAGATAATGTCACTGATGGTCATGATATCAAGCATGTTATCAGAACTTGAGTGTACAGTACAGGGGAACACTTAAATTTAAAAATGTAGTTAGTGATTTTAATGAAACCCTCTAATCAAGCA